TAACCCTAACTCCTAACTCCTAACCCTAATCCTAAGTCCTAACCGTAATCCCCTGACCCTAACCCCTAACCATAAGTCCTAACTCTTAACCCTAACCCCAACCCTAGCCATGACCCTTTTACCCTAACCCTTAACAGCAGCCCTAAATCTTAGCTCTGAAACATCCAACGCAAAAATTGGAAGGAGACGACAGGCCGAAAGTCAAGAAGGACCACTAGCATTGGGCCAAAAAAGGTAGACACGACTACAAAGAAACAATGTCAACAGAACACACACCGCAATGCACAGCAACATCATGCCAACGTAATCACACCAACTCAAAATAATTAAGCAGGTCAACAGTACTGTGTCCATCAGGTGCGGCCACGTAACCACACCTTACCCAGGTCATCAGTTCACACGCGCATCCCTTGGGCGTGCTTCGAGCCTTGCTTGTGCCCTCTTTATTATCTCAGTCCAGCGAACGGCCAAGTAGACCTGCTAAGAAAATGGTGCGGACGGTGTGGAAATCCGTCGGTTCCACTGCAGTGGCCATGCACTGCGAGCTACTACGCCCTTCCCTCCGTGGCCTTCCAATTGTGATTGCACCTTCCCTATCCTACTAATCCAGCAAGTGGCTGTGTCGGGGGAAGTGTGTACACGCCACCTTCAATCACTTTTCTGCGCGTGCTTCGATCTCTGTTTACGCTCTCTTTCCCTTCCCAGTCCAGCGGGTGTTTAAGTTAGGTTTGCCAACTAAAACTGTTTTAGGAAGCTAACCGTACGGTACCAATAAAGTGGGGTCACAAAACCAAATCTCGCCGGTGGATCAACCGATAGTTGTCCATTTATAATTATCGGTTGGCAGCGTGTAACTATTACGCGATTATTCTGTCGAAGCCGGTAGACTGCAATCAAATTTTATTCGTATTAATTTTCGGTCCGAATTTGGAGATTGTCTGTGTTGAACCCGCGACTCAGTGTTAGACCGGTTGACTTATCAGCCAATCGCCAATGCTCTCCCGCACACCCAAAGTCGGACCCTAGGGCCCTCTGATATGTGTTTATCGTCGACCCCACAATTCGACTGTCGCGAACGGCGTCAGCCGCGTGTCCCACGGTTGCGCCGCATCTACCTAACTTGACCCTCCCAAGTCATCCACCTTGATCCGATAGCAAAAAAACGCCAGGACGACCATTGGCAGGTTATTGCTCTGTGTACGACAAGGTTAAACGGTCCAGAAGACGACGATGCCACCACTGGAACAAGAAATTTATTGGCCTGCCGTTTCGGATTCTCACTCGAACCCATCATGTTGGCATATAAGGGAAGTGGTAGAACAAGGAATGCAGTATTTATAGCACGTGTCTGCCGTGGGACCATATGCGCACTGTAACTAACTGCTCTCGCAACCACCGCTGGGGTCGTAATTAATGCGATGGTGGCGTGTCAGTCCGCGCCCGAGACGTTAATGGCCGCCATTTCGTCATCCGTGTTGGATGCTGGTGTGACGATTGCTCGGCAAATTGGCTCACTGTCAATAGGATTACTGCTAGCTTGCGCCCTCCCCACGTGACTGATTTCCCTGCCCAGGGAAAATCTTAGCAGAGAATATGGTAACCGGAGGTCACTGCTCTTGTTGATGGATTGCGGGCCTGAGAACCATGACTCGAGGAACTCATGGCTCACGCGGTTGTTACCCCTTGCGAGGATTTCGGCCTCTTGAAACTTGAAAATATGGTCGGGTCCCGTCGAATGAGCTGAGAGCTTGCGTCTCTCCGCCTCACTGCTGCTGTGTGCTCCGCAATTCGCGCGCGGATTAATCTCCCACTTTCTCCGACGTAGTTGCTTTGTCCGCAACTGCACCAGATACGGTAAAGGCCTCCTGACGTTTCCTGTCGTGGCAGTGAGTCTTTCGACATCATGACTTGGCGCTTGATGGTTGCTTCCAGCCTGTGTGCAACCCCAACTCCAAGTGGAGTGAGAAGACGACTGACGGCTTCGGAGACGTTTTCGCGTATGGAAGAGTCCGCCAAAATTTGGATTTGGTCTCTGGTGTCGTTTTCGTTTGCACTGGTTGACAAAGTTGCGCGGGTAGCCATTGGCTCTCACTACCCGTCGAAGATATTGTAATTCAGCAACCTTGTCTTCCATGTCACTGCAGTGCGTCTCATCTCTGCTGTCGATTGCGAGAGCTGTTGATTACAGTGCGTATATGGTCCCACGGCTGACACGTGCTATAAATACTGCACTCATTTTGCCACCATTACCCTTATTTGCGACCGTCCCTGATGATGGGTTCGAGTGAGAATCCGAAACGTCAGGCCGATAAATTTCTTGTCCCAATGGTCGCATCTTCATCTTCTGAACTGCTTTCTGGAACTCGCCTGTTCGCTTCTATCATTAAACGGTCCGTCTAGGTGTACCACGCGCAAACTGAGTCCACCTGAATTTACCACACTCCCGTGAACGCGACTGGGATGTCAAATCAGTGAGATTGTCGGAAATGTTTCATTAAGAAGGGACCGTTGCAGAGGCCTTCTCTTCAGGCATACTACACACGCATGTACAGCAGTGGTCACACCTCCAGCGGATTCTACGCTGCCAGATTAACTCGCGCCGCGAGCCGGCCCGACCCCGTTTCCGTTCAGCGCAGCCACTTGTTGACCCAGGGCAGCAGGCAAGCTCTAAGTGGCCACAACTGTACGCGTTCTCATCTTCGGTAGTTCTGTCTTATCATTTTAATATTCGTGCGAAAAATATCTCCGCCCGGCTCCGCATTCTTGCCTGAGTCCTGTATCTGGCAGTTGAGCGATGCCCATCATTGAGCTGTCTTTTCCTTAATCGTCCTCCCAATCTTCGCTCAATCAAGCTTTCCCCCAAAAGGAAAGTAATTGACTATGAATACTCTATAGGAAAAAGTCACTAACTCATCTCAACCTCAGTGCCTTCGTGAGTGCTTACCAGCAAAAGACTAATTGTGCCTCTCAACTGAAACAGATTACCGTCCCGATGGTGTTAAACGTAGAGGCGAATTCTCGGCTAACATCACAAATAATTCCTTTCACATTTGACAGGACACAAAGCCTTGGCAAAGAGGCCTGGGGCCTAGGATCCTGATTCCTCTCAGGCATCAGTGCTTCCCAGCTTTGGTTTAGGATGTAAAGACCGGTGAGGAGGGGTTAAATTAGCCCCGAAAGCTAACAATGTTTGTTGCCTCGGTGAACGAGGAGGGAATCAGCACCGCTCCTCTCCCCTAGGGCGCAGCTGGAGTTCGCCTTTGCCACTCGGGCACAAAGCTCCGTAAGTGGGGCCCCTAGAAGACGCAGGAGAGAAGATGTAGAGGATCGAGAAAGGCCGCTGCGCGGTAGTGAAAATCGATACAAGTCACCGAATCGTGTACATCTGCGGACGAAGGGGGCAAAGTAAATGGTCCGCCCCCCCCTGTCCACTATCTGGGTCCCGGAAGCAGGCCATTGCTCCCCAACATCCTCGTTCCTTCCACTGCCATCGTCGGCTGCGGTGGTGGTGGTGGCGTGGGAGTCACGACATCCCTTATTGGCTGTTGCCTCACCGTGGGTGCACCGTCTCACATGCGCGTGCGCGAGACTTTTTCTGAGTGCTGAGCGCAACTCACTGACGGTCAACTACTAGCAGCAATTTTTCGGTTTGGCTCGCGTTCTACCAGAAGCCACCACGCAAGGCAGAAGAGATCTGGAGGAGGACGAGGAGGAGGCGGTGAAACACGACGCGTTCTTCCGATTCCAAGGGAAACTAGACCAGCGGGCCTTTGCAGCACAGACCGTTCACACTCCGGCCGTCCAGACGTGGCAAGTCTACACGAGCGTAAGTACTGTTGAACGCCGAATTTTTTATTCTTTGACCTCGCGACCATTCGGGGCGGACTTGCGAGGCTTTGGATGAGTGTTCCCGAGACAGACTGACCATATCTTTAACGCTGTTGCAGAGCAGAAGGCACTAGCTGGGGTACTTCAGCCTTATGAAGCCAGAAACCTTTAGACTTCCAAGACTCATCTGGTGGACTCTAGGTGAATTACTTAGGAAATCCTACTTGGGCAGTCAGCTTACTGTATGAAATTTGGTGGATTCCAGACGTTGAAGCAGGTCGGACGGGTAAGTGGACACAAATGCGATTAAACTCACGTCTCCCGGTGGGGCCTCAGATGGTTAGAGCGTTGGCTGTACTAAGGCCTTTCCCTTGCTGTCGTGGGTTCGAATCCCACCGAGGCGCCGAGATTTTTTATAGTTGGGTCAGTATGAATTATTTAAAATCTGTCAAAATATTAATGAATTTCCAACGGGTCAATATTTAAAAACACAATTTACTTTAAGACCGAGAGGGGAACAATCCCCCCAATTAGTACCGCTCCTGTTTACCACTTAAATTTCAGGGAACGTCTGATAACAGTCCCTATAGATAGATATAGACATTGATATTGAACCGCAACCTTATCCTCGAATGGCACCGTATGCAAATGCGATTCCTTCCATTCTCAAAGTGGCACTTTTTGAATCTCAGAAAACAAACTGGGTTTGGAAAAATTAAAATTTGTCCACAACTAAAAGTAGTTGTGGTCTTTCGTATTTTTCTCCATTTTTTGCTTACAGGCACTGAGAACTACGAAAGAGCTTATTTAGGCCGATTTTTGCTCTATTCTTTCTGACCTAGTCCGATTTCTAATAAGAGGTGCATTGGCGGAATTTTCAGTGTTTGAATGCAAGTGACTGATATTGTTTTCAAAAACTCGTGATTATTTTTCCGTCATGAACTTGGTGTAACATGTGATTACCTTTCGTAAATCATGCTCCTGAGAATCGACAATTTCTCGCTGAGTTCACGACCGTAGGCGTGGGCACACCAACTGTACCACTTGTTGAAAATATTTTTTAGCTATCTGAGGGCCAGCGGGTGGTGGAAACGCTCGGTGCAACAGCACAGATGATCTCTTAGGGCTGTTAGTTCATTTCACTCTGCAATGTTTATTTGTAAAGCCACGAC